TGGGATATCAATTTCTTTTTTACTAAAATTTTAAAATTTTTATAAAATTATCTTTTCGTTAATATTTTGAAATAGGAGGAGTTGCCGTCGGAACATCTGCTAATTTATATATTAACCCAGTTGGCGCAATGGCAATTGGTTTAATTGCAGGATCAATCTCTACAATTGGTTTCAATAAAATCACTCCATTTTTAGAAGAAAAAATTGGTATTCACGATTCTTGTGGTGTACATAATTTACATGGAATGCCAGGTAAAATTAAAAATTTTTCTTTTTTAATTTTCTTTTTTTTTTGCTTTTTTTTCAATTTTTTTTCTTTTTTTTTATTTTTTTTTCGAATAAATAATATGAGTGTTGAAAGCACTAGTGAGTGTATACTGTAATTTTCAAATTATTAAATGAAAAAAAATTTATTGCAGATTCCAGAATCTTATTTCTTAATTTTTAGTTTAACCGTTGTGGAAAAAAAGTGTAACGTGGTTTTTAATTGGGAACATTACTGAAAATTCAAAGTAAGATCAATTAAAAAAAGAATAAATAAATAAATAAAGACAAAATGAAGGATTCAACACAATAACAATTTTTTTAATACTATCTTTTGGTATGGGCTTTTCTTCGTTTGATCATTTATGAAAAATTTGTTCAAAAAATTGACGATTTTTGAGATCTCCAAAACCACATCACCAATTTCGATAAATCAAGTAGATTTAAATTGTATTTGTTGGGTTGATTGAAAATAATATAATGGATTATTATTTGGAGTTAATTGGTTTCTTCTTTTAATCGATTTTATTTTTCGTTTTCAGGTTCTATTAATGTTTACAATTAAAAAATTGAGTTGAACTTTTTTTCCCTGTTGCACTTTTTTTCCACAACAGTAAATATTAAAAAGATCTTCACAAATCAATATAATAACAAAATTTTCAATTTTTTTTTGAAATAACAACAAAAAATGTTTTTATTATTACTATTTTGTTTTTATGCCTCGAGGAGTATATTTTAAAATTTCAAAAATGGTCAAATTGTATTTTTTTGTCAAATTCAAGTTTTTCATATTTTTGAATAGTATCTTAATTGTCATCGTTAATAAAGTTTTTAAAGGTTTTTAATAATTTTGAGAGTAAAAATATCAAAATAAGATTTTGTATTTAGTAGCCTTTTATTTTTTAAACTGTCTAAAACCCAAAATTGTTGAAACCATCAATAATAAACACTTTTAAAAATTCAAAAAATATAATTTATAGATGTGATAAAATAAAATTTAAAATTATCTCCATTTATATCATATATGATTAAATTTTTTAGATGAAGACAAAAGGATGATAAACATTTTAATTAGTTATAAATATATTTTAAATAATTATTTTAAAATAATTGTTATTCATTTTTTATTCTATTTTATTTTTAAAAAAATATTTAAAATATGCATAATTTCAGAATCTCATAAGATCTTTGATGGGTCTTACGTGATTCAACATTTTTGCTTTTTTTGAATTTTTAAGATTCGGAAAAAATTATATTTATTTCAGCTTATTAAAAATATTTTTTTTTTTTTTAATTTTTTTTTAATTTGTTTTTAATTTGTTTTTAATTTTTTTTTAATTTTTTTTTATTTTTTTTCACAAATTAATTTATTTAGGAATAATTGGAGGAATTTCAGGAATCATTGCAGTCTATGCAGGAACTGAAGATCACAGTCTCTACAATGGTGTTATCGGAAATTATTTTCCAGAAGGAGATCATCAACCATACAGACAACTTAGCGCACTTTTCATTACACTCACAATTTCTTTTTTTGGCGGTTTAATAACAGGATTTATCATTAAATTTTTAGGACCAAATGCAGACAAACCTTTCTCTGATGAAGAATTTTGGTTTGATGAGGAAAATGATGCAGAGGAATCAGAAGAAGAGGAGTTAGAAAAAAAACCATTAGATGATGAAGAATCAAATATCACATCTTCAGAAGATATACAATTAAACGAGAAATTTTCAAGTGAAAACTAAAATATCATCAAATAGAAAAGAAAATATATATATATACATATAATATTATATACTTTTCTAATACATTATATTTATAATTTGAGAATAATATTAATATTTTTTTGAAAAACAAGAATGGATATTTTTTTAATTTTTCTTTTAATTTTTCTTTTAAATATATATATCTTTTCTTTTTTTTTTTGGGTAAACTTTTATGATCGAAATAAAAAATTATTTTAAATTATTTTCATTTTACCTTTTAACAAATAATCACATTCAAAGTTATTCGATTTAATAATTAATATAAAGTTAAAGATGGATCAGTTAGTAATTAAATAATATTTCCCTATACCTAGAACAAGATTTTTTTTTTCCAGTTTAAGTGGTTGTAATCATTAATAAGTTATGATTTAATTCAATTTTATTTCCTATCTTAAAAAAAGTATTTATCTTTTCATGATTGAACTTAAAAAATAAAAATTTATTGTAAAAAGTAAACTAAACTATTTTTCAAACATTTTGACTCACTTTATAATGTTTATGGGAGTTGTTTTGAGGGTTTATTCGAGTATTCTTTTCAAAAAATACTTTTAATTTTTTGGATCAGTATCATTTTTTGTAATTTTGCAAATTTTAGTTTTGCGTTTTCAAATTTTTGTTTTTTTTTTCTTTTTTTTTGAAAAATTTTTCTTTTTCTTTGTTTTCTTTTTATTTTTACTTAAATGATCATGTGGAAAAAAAAAAGACATCTTCGAAAAGACAAATAATCACTAAGAAAATTTCGACTATGTAATGTCTTTGAAAATGGAATTTAATTATTCATAAAAAATCTTGTTGTTCAACTTTTTTTCAGTGAAAATTCAGTAATAAAAAATCACTAAACTCATTTCAAAAATTGTGACTCACTTTTTTTTAGTTTTTGGTTTTATTTTTTTTAATTTTTAATATATCAGGCTTTTATAGATTTAGAATGATTTAAAAGTGAATTAAAAATCATATTTAGTTATTAATTGTTCTTGAACACTAAAGGCTAATTGTTTTTTTTTTCAATTTATTATTTCAAGTGAGTCACAATTTTTGAAAAAGGAGTTTAGTAAATATCTGAGAGTTATTATTTAAAATTTAGTCATATATAATTTCATTCTTTTCCTATTTTCAATTATTTAAATATGATCTATTCCATTTTACTAGTTAATATAAATATCATTAAAAAAATTCAATACTAATGAAAAAAATCAAGTATAAAGTAAAAAAAAGTTCAATCAAAAAATTGAGAGGTTTTGATTCAAAATATCAATAAAACTTGATTTTGTATGAGTTTGATTAGGAAGAGAGACAAATTTTACACACAAATAAAAAAATTGAAAACAGAATTTTATAGAATTTTTTGATAATTAGTAATCTCACCATTAATGGATCAAAACAAATCAATGGTTTTCAAATCCAAAACCCAGTGATCTTTTTTTATTTAGTATAAGAATGATTTTCAAGAAAAAACAAATATTTTTAGAAAAATCGTGAAATGTATAAAATTTTTTCATATGGTACTTTAATAATAAATTTGTAATAAATATTTCAAATATCTTTCTTTCATCTTTGTTAGGGGAAGAACACACTCTTATATTTACAAATTAGAATATATAATACAGTTAAAAAGATATATTTTCCATTATTTTGGAAAAAATTTCTTCATATTTAAAAAATAGTTTAAAATACTCATTTTTTTCAGTAAAAATTATCCATTGAATTTTTTTATTTGGGGGGGTGTAAATTAATTTAGAATTAAATACATAATTTGGAGTTAGTTCTACTTTTAAGAGTCATACTTTGAATAAAAATCAAGACACTAAAAATCTCAAATTAAAGGTAAAAAATTCAAATTTGTGTAAAATAAATTGTGTAAAATAAAATTCCAAATTTTGTTCCTAAAATTAAGATTTTTTGTGTCTTAATTTTCCTTGAAAGTTTGTGTCTTTAAAATGAAACTGACTGCATTCTGTTAAATTCTGGAAAACCTTACAATTTTTTTTTTTTTCTAATTTTTAGTGTTAATTTCTAAAATCTATTGATTTTCCAATCAAAACTATAAATCAAGAAAACTTAAAGGCGCAATTCTAGAATTCAAAAGAATCAAGTAAAATTTAAGATTTGTGTCAATTATTATGAATTATGGAAAACCTAAAGATTGTCTCAGCAAATTAATATCCTCCCTTTAAAATTGTATAAAAAAAAATAAAAATTGAAAATAGATTTTATTTAAAGTAAGAAATATTAGTGATCTTGAGTTCAAATGTCTCACAAAAAATCCAATAATAATATTATTGTATAATAAAATAATTCATTTTTTAGATTTGAATAGAATTAAACATTTTTAATTATGAAATTTTTTTTATTTTGGCTTTACCAAATCAAAAAATCTATACTCAAAACATAAAAAATACAGTATCCAGTAATTCATAATCTATATCCAACTTTTAATAAGTAACTATTTTGATAATTTTTTTATTTCAAGATTTTTTCCTGAATCATGAATCTGTAAAATTGAACATCGGTAACGTATCTTTGTTTGACCAAAGATAGTTATTTTATATATATGAAAAAATAATTTGTCACAAGAATGTTTTATTTAATTATTTAATTTTTTTGAATTTTTTAGTAACTAATCTATATTCCACAACAAATCTTTAGAAGTGTATTTTTCCATTTTGTACTCTATTAATGATAGTTCTATTTTTAAAATTTGTGTTGAAAAATAGATTTATTTCTGATATTATTTCGTTTTTTTACAAATCTAACTATCATTTTGTATTGTAAATATCAAATTGAGTATTAGTCTTTCGGTTTATCTGTTAATTTGAAATTAATTCTTCGTAGCAATTTAGATTTATTTCCATAACATTTTGATTTTGAAGTTATCTTTGATAAACATTTTTCCCTTAACTTTTTAAAATTTGAATTTGTTACGAAGTTTTAAAATTTTATTCAATACTTGAAAAAGACTAATTTGATATCTTCTCATCATAGCTCAGTTGGTAGAGCGGTTGACTGTAGTGGAATCATTGAAATCAATAGGTCACCTGTTCGAATCAGGTTGATGAGAATTTTTTTTTTTGTTTTTTAAATAAGAATCTTCAAATTAAAGATATCATTTTTCTGAGAAAGTATTTGTGATCAGTAATAAGTTCTGATCTAATTCAATTTTTTTCTTTGGAAATAAAAATTTTTTCAGATTAAACAAAATAATAAAACTAAATCAACTTAATTTTAGATTGAAAAATTTAAATTGTAGTTTAGTAAATTAATTATTGAAGAACAAATCCAATCCAATCAAAACAAAATCATTTTTTTAATTTGTTTGAATTTCTTTACATCTAATTTCATAAATTTCTCTGTCATAACTTTAATGTGTTGACAATAAAAACAATCAATTTTATGACTTCGTTTCAAAGTAGTCTTGTCAGGGTTCAGTATCTACAATTTCTCGACTTTACCAAATCTTCAAAAAACAATAACAAGAGAAAATTGAATTAATTTTGAAATTGAAGCACCATAAAAAGAAAAAGAACAAGAAAAAGAAAAAAAAAAGAATTTTACAAAAAGGATTTGAACATAATTAGCTTTCTTCAAGAAATTAACTTTTAACAAAGAACCAATACAAAAACAAAGAACTCAAAAAACGAAAAAAGAATACTGGCATTTGTAAAAGAAATTGAAATAATTTTCACTTGATTTTCAATTTCCTTTTTCAAAATAGAGCCACAAATCACAACACTCTTTGAAAACTCTCAATGTATGGAAAAGAAAAATATGAAAAAGGAAGTGAAAATTTTTTCCCATTTAGAATTCAAATACCAGTAATAAAAAAAAAACCTAATAAAATATTGGTTCAATATTCAATGTTTTTACATTCTCTCTCAATCAATATTACTCTCAGATAAGTACAAGTCATAAATCTAGTAAATTCCAAATAACCATCCCTTTAAAAAAATTGTCAAATCCACAAATCATTTTTGAAAAGAGAATTACGGATTTTTTAGTACTTAGCTTCACTGAAAAAAAGTTGAACAAGAAAATTTTTTGCGAATAATTAAATTCCTTTTAAAAGACATTCATAGTCGAAATTTTCTAATGAATATATTCCTTTTCGAAGATCTTTTTTATTTTTTCCACATGATCATTTAAGTAAAAATAAAAAGAAAACAAAAAAAAAGAAAAATTTTCCAAAAAAAAAGAAAAAGAAAAAGTAAAAAAAATACAAAATTTTGAAAAAACGAGACAAAAGAAATAAAATTCGGAAAAAATAATTTTGATCTTTAACTTGAAAATATTTATTTTTACTAAGAATATAGGACAAAACTCTTCAAAACAACTGTCAGTGATATTATAAAACAAATCGAAATTTTTGGATAATAGTTTGGGTTGATGCGATTTAATTCGAACTTAAATCAAACATTACTAAATTTAGATTATTCTACTACTCATTATTTATTTATTCTTTAAAAATCAATTCGAAAATTTTTTAAGCCTCTTTGACACAAAGAAAGTTTATAATCAATATAAAAACTTTTTGAAAAAAAAAAAAAAAAAAAAAAAAACACGTGTAATTTTGGTATTATATTTATTTAGGAGAGTTTTATAAGAGATGATTGGATATGTTCTCATTTTTTTAAATTATTCAAATCAGTGATAAGATGTTTAAAGATTTGTTTCTTATTAAAACATAAAAAATAAAAAAAAAAAACTTTAATTGTAAAATATAGATTTAAAGATATTCTTCGGAAAATGAGGATGAAATTTTTAATTTCCCATTAAATAATTGTGTAGAATATCTTTGAACAAGAGGAGTTTCAGAAAATATTGGTCTTGGTACGGTTGTTCTTAGAATATATTTTTGAATTGAAGGAGAGTTTAAGAATATTTTATTTTTGTTATCTTTATAATTATTCTCTTCTTCTACCACATTTTCCTCACCCAACTCATCCTCATCCTCATCTACCAACTTTTTTGTCGCCATCCTCTCTTCCTTTTCACCACATTTATTATAATTATAAAGATTTGAAATCAATTCTCTTTCGCTTTCGGTTTTTACTTGAATCATTCCATTTTTTGAATTAAGGTATCTTTGAAGAAATTCATCCTTTTCATTAAATTTTTTTAAAATTGAATGTGCTTTAACTAATTCAAGTTCAACTTTTTTAAATTTTTTTAATAATTTGTTAAAATGTGATTTTCCAATTTCGCTATTATTTATGATTATTTATTCAATTAATAAATTAAAGAGATTAAATTAGTTTTTATTATAAAATTATATCAAAATTTGACTAAAAAAAATCTTCATCTTTTTTGGAAATTAATAATAAAATCTTTGCTTTAGTATGGAAAACAGAATACTTTACTTAAAAAAAAACATATAAATTTATAAAAGGAAAAAAATAATGAAACAAAATTATGACTTTTTTTTTTTTTTTTTTTAATGTTATATGGATATATTTTGGATAACTTAAGGGACTAGTCTCTATTAAATTTTTTTAGGTAAATTGTATAGAGATTTAGATTTTTTTTTTGCCAATTACTTAGATTTGAAATCAAAGTGAAAAAATTCTTAGTATAGTAACGAAATCTCGATAAATGACATTCATAAAATTTAGTTATTGTTTTTATAGAAATAAAAAAATTTTCCTTTTTTTCGCTTTTTTGAAAGTTGCTTTTTTTTCAACTTTTCGCAAAAATACAAAAAATAAAAAAAAATATGAGCAAGAAAGCAAAACCTTGTTGTGTTTGTCGTAGACATACAAAAAATAATTTGAAAAATAAACCTGAAAAGCTTTTTTTTGGATTTGCATGAAAAACGGGAGTTGACATAACTTGCAAATTATTGCAAAATGCAAAAATTTGCAAAATTTTATTAATATTATTCTAAAGATTGTGTGTGAATTGAATTGGTATATCAGATGTTTGTAGTGTTCCTGTGTATTGCTACACAATTAAAAATTGTCATAGCTATGACATTTCCGAACATTTTATTACAATTGTGAAGTAACGTATTGAAATGCTTAGACATATAAGATACCAATTCAATTCACACACAATCTTTAGAATAATATTAATAAAATTTTGCAAATTTTTGCATTTTGCTAATTTTCACATGTTATACTTATATCGTGAAAAATAGTTTGATTCGAAAAAAACATGCAATATATTCTTTACTAAAAATAAAAGATTTTATTTCTTTTCCTGTACCATTCTTTTTTATTTCTTGAAACCACTTTTTGAGTTTAAACTCTTTTGTTTTTGTCAAATTTGAAGTTTTTTTAAAAATATTCCCAAATTACCATTCCAAAAGTATTTGTCAGTGTCAAAAAAAAAAAAAAATAAGAACTATTTTTGATAAAAAGTAATTATTGATAAAACAAATTGGGTTCTTTATAGAGTCAAGTTGGATGAACAGACTGATAGAGAAAATATTCACGAGTTTTAAATTATTTTTTCATATTTCAAAATGAGAATAAATATTATTTTTGATAAAATAATTCAATCCAAAATTAATCAAAATTTTCTTCTTTTTTTCGTTTTTCTTTCTTTTATTAAAAATTTTTTTCAAAATTCACTGTTTTTGACTAATTGAAAAAGTTAAAAAAAAAACAAGAACTAAAAGTTCTAACATTGAAAAAAACTGTTTTTTATCAATTTTAAACTATTCCTAGATAAGGATTCCTTATTTAGAAATTGGTCAAAAAAAAAAATTAATAGACTAGTCCCTTAAACAAAAAATGAATCAGGATTAGAACAAAATTCCTCATAATTTCAGGGGTGGAACACCGAATTAAACTCCATTGCACTAAAAGGTGACCCATATAAAAATGAAAAATTCATTTTTTTTTTTAAAAATCAACCAAACTACGATTGCTTAGAAATAAGAGTAATAATAAACTTCGAATTAGAGCCGATAATCATCAAATGAAAAACCTGAACAAACCATAAATTTCAAAAAAAAAAAATGTTAAAAAAAAATTTTAAGGGCCCTTTCATTTGAACGTTTCGTTCAAAAATTTATCTATTTCTTTGGGAAATTAAAAATTGTTGACAATAAGATTTTGTAATTTTAAATGGATGAATTATAAAAGAAATTACATTTCATCACTTTCTGCATGTTAATTTGGAGTTTCAAACATTATTTTTTTCAAACTGAATTTTTAAAACAAAATAGAATAAAAAAACAAGAAAAAAAAAAAAAAAAAAAATTTATAAAATGAGAAAAAATGATTTTGATCTAAAAATTGAAAATTTATTTTTGAGAAGAATAATGAATTAAACCTCAAGAATCTGTTCTATTTCTTCAATAAAAATGGGCCCCTCTTTGACTGAAAAAGACTTTAGATCGTCCTAACTTTCAATGATATTCATTTCATCTTTTATTTTCCATTTGTCACGCAATACTCAAAAACACCCAAGTACAAAAACCACATAATAAAACTATTTTCCAGTCAAATGGGTCCAGTTGTAATGGGTGAATTACATGCGTTTAAAGGGCTTGTATGGATATTAGAAGAAAAAAATTTATTTTGGAAATTTCAAAAATGAAATCATTTTTGCACATTTTTGTTTTTTTTTTTTAAATTTTTTTTTTAACACATAATTCACTTGCTAAAATTTTTTTTTATGGCAAGATCTAAGTAACTTGGTAAAAAAGTGTTATACAAATGTTATTGCAACTGTGGAAATGTTTGTTGAGAAATCATATCGATTTCTTTTGTAATTTTATTCAATCTTTAATCCTGATATTTGAATAATATCTGTGAAATATTTCCACTTCATTTTCATTTCCTTTTTCAAATAAAGACCACATAATTACAACCCACTTTGTTTGGGGGCTTGATTTATAAAAGAAAAGTATGAAAAATGAAGTCAAAATTGTTTACTATTTATTATACAAATACCAATATAAGATCAAAACAAATAATCTTGTTTTTCTCAATAGGGACATAAGAATTTGAGTTTTTCACTTTTTAAGAAAATTTATTGATTAATTAGTTTTCTTTCAGATGGATATCAACAATTCTTTGATGTCTATTATTCTGTTTATTTTTTATTTGTTCTTCA